TGGACAAGCGGTTAGCTGGAATTCCTGGGACACAGTGCCTGTTAGATGACATGCTGGTGACGGGTAACTCAGAGGAGGAACATAAACAGAATGTAGAGGCAGTTTTGCAAAGACTTCTGGAATATGGATTGAAGGTAAATTTGGATAAATGCCAATTCATACAGGATCGTCTTGAATTTTGTGCTCATGTAATTGACAAACATGGGCTGCATACAACAGATGAGAAGATCAAGGCATTACAGGATGCTCCAACTCCACAAAATGTGACACAACTAAGGTCCTATCTTGGTCTGTTAAATTAAATTACAACCTTTTTTGCCAAACTTAGCTCATGTCCTGTACTCTTTACATCATTTTCTAGAGCGAAAACGACAATGGCGCTGGACAGTAGAATGTGCTTCAGCTTTCCATAAGTCAAAAGAACTAGTTCGTAGTTCACGTCTTTTAGTACACTACGACTTGAAAAAGCCTGTTTCCATTGCTTGTGATGCATCACCTTACGGACTGGGAGCAGTCCTGTCTCTTCCATGGCTGATGGGACAGACAGGCCAGTGGCTTTTGCCTCTAGATCGCTCACAGCTGCAGAAAAAAAAAAACTATTCTCAAATAGATAAAGAGGATCTGGCAATAGTATGGGCAGTAAAGAAATTCCATCTTTATATTATATATATGGTCGACCCTTCACACTGCTTACGGACCATAAACCTTTATTGACAATTTTTAACCCACAGAAAGGTATTTCAATCATGACAGCAGCAAGACTTCAGAGGTATGCCTTAACTCTGGGGGCTTATCAGTATCAGATACAGTATCGTCCAAACGCTCTGCATTCTAATGCAGATGCATTCTCTAGACTTCCATTGAAAATGGATTCACAATTAACTACCACAGAAAGATCTACAATATATTTCAGTGAGGTGATAACAGCCAGATAAATTGCACAGGAGACAGCCAAGGACTCTTTGCTGAGGGAAATACCTTTTTTTGTACGCAAGGGTTGGCCACTAAAGACTCCAATACATCTCAAGTCATTCCAAACAAGAGCTCAGGAGTTATCAGTTCTAGATGGCTGCTTAGTCTGGGGAGAAAGAGTGGTTATTCCTTTTGTGTTACAACAGATTCTTGAAATTTTACATGCAGGTCATCCTGGCATAGTCCGCATGAAGCAGAAGGCAAGAGGTCATGTATGGTGGACAACCATTGATGAGTATATTGCCCGTTATGTTTCCGGTTGCACTGGTTGTGCACAAGAACAGCGTGACTTGGGACATGGTGCCGTACAACCTTGGACTCTATCACCATGGCAGAGAATTCACATAGACTTTGCTGGACCAGTGGAAAATAAAATGTATCTGATTGTGGTAGATGCACATTCTAAATGGCCAGAAGTTCTATTCATGTCGCAGACCACTGCAGAAGCTACTGTTAAAGCATTACAGAAACTACTTGCAACATTTGGCTTGCCTGGAGTGCTTGTTTCAAATAATGAACCGCAATTTGTTTCTAGGCAATTTCAGGCTTTTCTCAAGGAAAACGGTATTAGGCATCATCGTACAGCACCGTATTATCCTGCTACTAATGGTCAAGCAGAACGTTTTGTTCAAACGTTAAAGGGTTTTCTGAGAAGTCTGAAAGCAGAAGGAAAGAGACCTGAAAATCATTTGTCTGAGTTCCTTCTACAGTATTGAAATACACCTCATCCAACCACTGGACAACCTCCAGCATGCCTTATGTTAGGCCGTGAACTCAGGACAAAGTTGGATCTGTTAAAACCAGAGATTCAACAAAGGGTCATCCAGCAACAATCGAAGATGAAAGTCGGAAAAGCAGGCCGTTGTTACCAGACAGGGGATTCTGTTTGGATGCGTGTATATCATCAGGAGAATCGTTGGAAAGAAGCAGTGATAAAGGAAGTTCTGGGGCCGGGGCACTATAAAGTTTTAACCTCTGATGGATGTTACACACGGAGACATATAAATCAACTTCGACCACGTATAACAGACAACCAATCAAAGTGGGTAGGGCCACTCATGCAACCAGACACTGATATCTGGCATGGAGTTTGGCATGATGACTTTTCTGATGTCTGCAATACACCTGGTACAGAGCCACATGATGTAATAGGGGATGATTTGGAGGAAATACCCCATGAAACTAGGGAACAATAACTGCCAAGCCACAGTTCAAGTAACCATGAAGGCTGTGGTCATGAAAATACTTTCCATTCAACAAGAGAGAGAAGGGCCACAAATCGCTGGCTACCAGAAGATCCATTAAGGGACTATAGTCGGAGAAACTCCACAGTAAGAAGGTGGAAATGGTATCCTAGTTGGAGTAGAATAAGCTGTCCTGAAAAAAAGTTTGTAGATCTTTAAGATGGACAGAATGATGCAGATTAAGGACACATTTTTAAATTGTTCTTTTATTATTGTTGACTTTTTTACTATTTTGTTTTGTTTTCTTTCTTTTGTTGAGAAAGGAAGGAGAAAAAAATGTGATGTATGGACTGTTGGGCTGATATGTGTGTGTGTGTGAGTGTATGTATTGTGATGTATGGGCAGTTGGGCTGTGTATGTGTGTGAGTGTATGAGTGTATGTATTGTGATGTATGGGCATTGGGCAGTTGGGCTGTTGTCGGCTGTGAATGATGCACTTCCTTTCTTTTGGTTCTTTACTTCCTGTTGGCGGAATGTTCCAGGGATTTGAAATGGCAGCTGCAGAAACTCTGTGTAACAAGGCTGCAATATGAAGATCCTGTTATATATGTATTAATAAAGTGAGTACTTCGTTATACAGGAATTATTGACTGATTTGTACAAAACATCACACACACACTGCATACACTGCCCACCCATATATACACATACACACTGCACACCCATATATACTCACACACACACTGCATACGCTGCCCACATATATATATATATATACACACACACACACACACACATACACTGCCCACCCATATATACACACACACACTGCAGACACTGCCCACCTATAATATATATATATATATATATATACACACACACACACACACACATATACTGGTCACCAATATATACACTGCCCACCCCACACACACATGCACTGCCCCCCCACACACATACACTGCCCCATACATTGCCACAATACACCATACATTCACACACTGCCTCCCCATATCACACATTGTTCTCCACACATACACTCGTTTCACACATACACATTCATACACTGCCCCCCACAGACATTCCCACACACATACACACCAACACAGCCCCACACATACACACTGCAACCCTATACACACACCCATTACTACACCTACACATTCACTCACTACACCCAGGGCCGTCTTTAACAAGGGGCAAACAGGGCAGCTGCCCCGGGCCCAGTTGCTCCTGGGGGGCCCAAAGCAGCTGCCCTGTGGGCCCCCTGCCCGCAGCCAGGTCTGAACAGCCCACTGGGATACTGAGAAATATCCCGGTGGGCTGCAGCAGGTGATGTAATCAGGGGCCCCGGCCCTTTAAGAGAGCTGCAGACCGGCCCCTGTCTGTATGCCTGCTGGGAGGAAGTGTTGTGAGGTCACTTCCTCCCAATTAACAGAGTGCCGCTGGGGAGGAGGAGGCATACATGGAGAGCAGGAGGAGGTACAGACCAAGAAGAAGACTCCCATCAATCTCAGCCATCCAGCTCCCACTGGACCACAGGGAAGCCACACTTCTGTAAAGGTAAGGAGGGTGGCTAAACTATGTGAATTCATATGACTCTGTGTGTGTGTGTGTTTGTGTCAGTGTGTGTGTATATCTGACTGTATGTGTGTATGTGTATCTGGCTGTATGTGTGTGTATCTGACTGTGTGTGTATCTGGCTGTATGTGTGTGTATCTGGCTGTATGTGTGTGTATCTGACTGTGTGTGTATCTGGCTGTATGTGTGTGTATCTGACTGTGTGTGTATCTGGCTGTATGTGTGTGTATCTGACTGTATGTGTGTGTATCTGGC